CATCTGTATCTCTTATAAGGGGTTGGTTTAACCTCATTTTGCTAGTAAAACTGAATTACCATGTCCCAAAATGATGCAAGCCTAAAAGATGTGTAATGAACATGGTAATTCAGTTTGGAAAGGTTTGAACTACAGTCTATCCATAGCTTATCTGTGGTGGTATTTATCACCAAAATTATGCATGGACATTTATTATTTTTTGCTCCTCAACTATTGTTAGTGTTGGTGTATTGTATGTGTGGCCCTAGACAATTCTTCTTCCGTTAGTGTTGGTGTATTGTCTAAAAAAAGACGTTTCATATATTCAGTGTGGCCCAGGGAAACCTAAAGGTTGGACACCCCGGTCTAGAGTCTATAGAGTAGGCATCCTCAAACTGTGGCCCTCCAGCTGTTTGAGCCTTCAACTCCCAGAATTCTTGAGAATTGAACAAGCTTATTAGAACTTCTGGGAGTTGGAGGCCCAAAGAGCTGTAGGGCCACAGTTTGAGGATGTCTGCTATAGAGTAAATAAAGTAAAGTCTATCCATTGAAAAGAAGACTACTATTGTATGTCATTGAAAAATTAAAGTTTTCCTTATAGCAAAAGTGAGGGTTGGTTTAAGACATTGCAGGCGAGCAGCATCTATGAGTTATGAATTATGCATGTATAAGTCAAAAATCAACTCAAAAACCTAACTTACATGCCATCCTGTAACCAGAGATTTTAGGGTGGGTTATCAAATGAATATATTGTTAAGGTTCTTTGCATTTCAGAAAATGCCTTCTTTCTCAGTCTGTCCCAAGTTGAGAGTCAAGATACAATGTAAGTTGTCTGCGCACATAAATCTGTCCTTTATTAAAACCAAATGTTCAACTAGTTGTATGAATCATCTTTTTCTCAACTTGAAATGCAACTATTTAATAATAGAGAGACTGAAGATGAAGATACTACAGTTAGATGTCAGCAAGACAAAGTTAAATCAGGTGCAGCTTCTTATATTTTTGTGACCTTAGAATAGTAATCTTTTAGCTGCATTCATTTTTGATGCTGTTCTCCAATATTACAAATACTTGAGTTAATAATTTCCTGATAAAATTTTGAATGTATTTAAATATTATGTATTTGATATCATTATTTAGCCCCGAGGATATTTAGAAGCATATGCTATTTTACAGTATTACAAATAATTTAATAAATAATTTCCACATAAAGCATTGCATGTATTTAAATATAGAGTATTAGATAACATTATTTTGAGCATTGGGAACACTTTACGTTTCCATTTTTTCTGAAAAACCCCACATCAATTTCGTCATTCAGCCATATGTGAGGAAGCAGTTTCTGGCAACTCTTTCATCAATAGTTGTCTGACCTATATGCCATATCAATTCCAGAGGTCCCACAGCCCAGAAAATTTAATTTTTCGGGATTTCAGGTGAAGAGAAAAGGCAGAGGAAACTCTAGCCCTTGACCATTAACACATTTTTTATGTAATAAAAAGCATTTCATAATAGTATGGAAACACATTTGTCTTTGCCTGTGTGATCATTGCATCAACCCATGAAGGGATTAATCTCTGAATCATTCCTATGTCACAACCCTTACATGTTGTCCCTTTTAGGTGCTTTGGGCAGATCTTTCTAAACTGAGGCACAGTGGACATTTTTCCCTCACTGAAACAACAACTGAACTGTTCATAGTGTCAAATATCCCTTGTTACATACCGTATATTCCGGCATATAAGGCGACTGGGAGTATAAGACGACCCCCAACTTTTCCAGTTAAAATATAGAGTTAAGACGGCTCCCATGCATAAGACTACACCTGTGTATAAGACGACCCCTGACTTTTGAGAAGATTTTCTTGGGTAAAAAAGTAGTCTTATACGCCAGAATATACTGTAAGTATTTCTCAGGATAAATCTACTGTTGTGTATATATTTATATCTTTGGATTATTACTACGTTTTCAAGCCCTGATAGAAGCTCCCCTTTTTCTCTGGAGAGGAAGAAATGTTGTTGCTTGTAACATATTGTAGGGCTCTTTGCAGTGGAATAATTAGAACTTAAGAAGCAGAGAGAATGCTTGGGCATTATCTTCTCTGTGTGGCAAAGTGTTTGAAGAATGGTAAAGTAGTCTGTTTATTTCTATGGAGTCACATAACATATGAGTAAAATCTAGATTTTTGGGGGGTTCAATGGCATAATTCTGTTACAAACTGGAATTAAATCTCCTTCTCAGTCATAAACCCTTGATCTTAGATTGTATTTAATCTAATACAGTATCATGCCATCGGTTTAATCCGTACAGCAACAAAGTGGACAAAATCATGGATTATTAATGGCCAGTTGGATTAGGAGATTTCCTAGCTCAGCAGCCTTTACTGTGTGTACCCACACCAGAGCCTTTTTTAAAAGATGGGATAAAAACACAGGTAATCTTGTCAGTTACCCTTTGGCATATGGATCTTTACTCCTTGGCTCATAAATAATACCAACATACTACTACTTTCTTGTAGTACTACTTTCTTGTACTTCTTGTAAGAAAATGTATTTCTTTGTTTTTATTAAAGAGTGAAAAGATCAGTTTGTTTCTGTCTCATTGAGAGTGGAAGGAAGCCTACTACTATGGGTTGGCTCCATTTTCTCCAAGGTTGAAGTCAGATTAATCTTCATCCTGGAACTGGCCAGCCATAACTTGGGAGAGTGTGTTTTCTTGATCTTGATATGCAGAATTTGTTCTAAAATTTGTCTTCTTTTTTTTCTCCCCAAGCTGCTGCTTGACAGAGGAGCCCCATCAGCTAGTTATAATTAAGACTAAATTGTGGAGGTAAGTATCTTCTATTCCATTTTAAGTGGTGTCTTGGCTTTTTATTGAAGGTCTCCTAAACAGTATCCTAACAGAAAGAACCACAGAGTATGGTGATCCAAAATTCAGCTGCTGTGACGGATTTTTTAAAGAAGGCCTCCTCCCATGTGATGAGGCAAGGAGGAAGCCAAGACGGTATTATGAAGCCTTGGTGGCAATACACAAGCATTCCTGCAGCACATATGAAGAAGTCGTAGGTCATAATGTTTGCAAACATGTTGCATGCGGACTGAATATATGAGTTTATATCCAGGCCTGTTATTATGTAGACAGACCTATTTCAGTCTGTTAAATAAGAAAATTGTTTCTGTCTGCAGGTTGCCAGGGAAGTAATTCCTCATTCTCTCTTGTCATTTTTCCCCTGAAACCTGCTTTGAAGACCAGGAGAAGATTTTTGAATGCTATGGCTCTTGGGAGGTGGGAAGTAGAGAGTGAGAAGGTTTTGTTGTGCTAGCACAAGGTTAGATTTATTTCATCTCCTGTGCTAAATAGATCTGATGCTTTACTAAGGGTGGATGATGATGATGATGATGATGATGATGATGATGATGATTTCTCTCCTGCCTTTCCCCCAGATTAGGAGTAATTGAAGCCTTCAGCAAATTATAACATAGTTAACAATCCACACAGTACAAAAATTAAAGCAAGATAAAACAATCAAATATTTAAAACCAGATTCAAAGATACACCATTAAAGCACATAAACACTTGCACAACAATTCGTAATGTCCAATACATCGTTTAAGATGGGCCTTATATAGTTACTTGTCAAATGCCGGTTGAAACACAAACATCTTTACTTCTCTGTTAAAAGATATTAGGGAGTGTTCCAGTCTAGCCTTTCTCGAAAATAAGTTCCAGTGCTTGGCATTGGCCACTAAAAAATTTTTCCCCATGTTCCCAGCATATGTACCTTTGGGGGAGGAAGGAACAAGAGAATAAAAATTGTCCCAATAAAAAGTGTCCCTTTATTAATCCTGTAAATTTTGTTTTTACCTAGAGTTATTACATGGCAGTACTTATTATCAGGAATATAGAGGCCTAATATTGGAAATAGTCTTCCTGTTTCCCATCAGCTTGGGAATTCTGTTTGAATTTTTTTTATTAGAATTAAGGTAAGATCCTAAATATGCAGTTCCATGGATTTCTTGTCGAACACTTTCATGGCTGGAATCACTAAGTTGCAATGAGTTTTTTGGGCTGTATGGCCATGTTCCAGTAGCATTCTCTCCTGACCTTTTGCCTGCATCTGTGGCTGGCATCTTCAGAGGTTCTGATTAATTAATTATAATTCTTAGCTAGTTTCATTGAATGTTTCTTCCAGTCTAAACGTGAAATTTTAATGGTCTTCTCTTGAAACTGCTGATTATGCCAAGACTGAGAATGTGATTAGTATGATCTGCTTTACCATATACAGCTTTTGCATGTGATCCTTTTAACCACATCAAGCATGTGAATGTTTCTCCACTTGTTCCCTTGGTTAGTGTTTTCCATTTAGATTGCTTGGGACTACCTTGCTTACTTCTCCACTTACACTTCATAATATAATACAATTGTAGCTGCTTGCCTACTCCTCATATCTGTAGTGAGGTACTTATGATGCCACTGCATTTATTGCCTCAATCTAAAACCAAAGGCTCTTCTAGGGACCATTTGTTGTGCCCTTGGTACCAATAAATGTTTCAGGTCTGAATACGTTATTTGTCATCTGCTCAAAGTAAAAATATTTTGCATTTGGTTTCTATGTTTATGATAATGAATATTTCATTGAAAATAATAGATCCTGATATATCATATTTCTTTAAATACTTTGGGGAAGGATGCTCTATCCAACATGATGAGGTCTTATCTTTGATAAGACATTGACCAAATTTTGGCTTCTAGTACCGCTGGGGTGGATTGCTTTCATTTGATATAACATTGGTTTTAAGCTTGCAGTCATTGTTTAACCTATGTCACAACTGTCTTATAATATTTTCCATAATTATAATAAACTGTCCACAACAAAAATTGTGCTTAATCTCCATGGTTAAAATGAAAGCCTTAAAAGGTGAAGGGAGGTAAACTAACATGTTTTTCATATTTATTATCCTTCTGTGCATGAAATGATGTAATTTTAAATTTGTTTTTGTTTTAACATTAGATAAGCATGAGACCAGCGTGGCACAGCTGCATGTGTATTTACACTTGAAGCAATAGCACACTTTGTTGGCTGACAATCTTGGCATTTTTTAGCAAAAATTAAAGGCACAGTACATCTGTGTTTGACTTGACAAATAAACTTGTTGGCTGTCATCTGATGGAGCCTTCTGGTGGTGAACAATTCTATGATGACACTGACATTGGAGGCAAATCTCAAGATCCAGAGACCAAAAGGCAGCATGAATCAGAGCAAAAGCTGTCAAAAATTACCCACAATGCCTTGGAGAACATCAATGTGATTGGTCAAGGCTTGAAGCATCTCTTCCAGCATCAACGTAGGAGATCCTCAGTGTCTCCCCATGATGTTCAACAAGTTCAGGTTGATATGGAGCCGGAAGTGGAAATGGAAAACCAAAGCACCTGTGGTGAAATTGATGGTGTCTCTACTCATCCTACAGCTCTAAACAGAGTTCTCCAACAAATCAGAGTGCCACCTAAAATGAAGAGAGGAACAAGCCTCCATAGCAGACGGGGCAAGTCAGATCCCCCAAAGGGAAGCCCTCAGATCAACAGGAAGTCTCTCCAAGATATTCATTCAGGCCGACCCAGATCCTCATCAACTACTGATGCCCCTACTAATTTATCACTACTGGAGATGGCAGCTCCTGTCTGCCTAACTGGTGAAGATGTTGCATCAGTGGAAAGGGTGAGTTCTGTTTATTACAGATTATATTTCTACTGTCAAAGACCTAAGTGTTTCTAAAAAACTGACAAGTGAAAGTCATGCTCCTGAGTAAAGGAATACATAAAATATAAACTTATTATTGCTCTGTAAATAGGAACAGATGGGAGTAAAACCATTATTCTAATACTGCAACTTGCCGACTATTGAATGCTTTGTATATATGAATTATATTATTTTAAAATGTTTGTAGGAGTAATTTAAACTCCCCAGATAGACTCATGTAAAGGTACTATTCCAAATGTTTTGTTTTAATAAGCACCATCATCTTATCAGCTTAATTATAAAAGTCTATATAAAGTAGCTGAAGAAGATAGCTGTATTATGCAGTTGCAACTGTGTAGGTTTATATTTGTGAGATAACCTACTCATGATAGCATTGATATCCCTGAATCTGTTCATGGATGAATGGGTTAAATGCAGTAACACATGTATTCAGTCTAACTTGTAGAGTTCACACATCACACATTCACCCAGATTTTAGAAGCAACTTCTCAATATTTTGCATAGAGAATGTGTTGCTTGGGATAAATAGATAACAGTAATGTGCTGGTGGTTTTCAAGGTGTCAAGTTTGATTAAACTAGTGATTTTATTTAGATACAGATTCTAATTTTCATTCTGTTAAAATTACTGTTACAGAAAACATGATGGAATAACTTAACAAAAATATTAATTACTAGAGCTTTTGTGACAGTCTTATGACACTGAGACAATGAAGGAAAGTGCTACAGCTTTGTAAAAATTTTTATCAAATGTAAGCCAGCTGTGATGAAGGAAACTGCCAAATTAACTTTGTGTGTGTGTGTGTGTGTAAAAATAAAACTTCCAGTCTGATGTGAAGTGTGGTGTGCGGATATTTCAGTAACCATTGCTGAGTTGAGTAATTTTTCTATCTATTACAAAGATCTTGAAATTGAACTGATTTAACCATGTTATGAATGTGTTGTTAGTTAATACTGTTGCCTACAGTTAAAATGCTGAGCATCTAATTCCAGTTCTGTATTGGAATATATAAATGTATACTTTGTTGTTACACTGGTAATGGTGGTACTTCCTGTGGCTTCCATTGGCTTGAGTACTGCAACATCTTGCTGGGGATATGACTGAAAATTTCCTATTTCAGTCAGTTGTGCAGTGAAGTCTGGAATGCTATAGCAGCTTAGAAGAAGTTGTACCCAAAGAGTAGCAAGTGTGATGATGGGGATGTTGGAGTAGGTCTGCATAGTAAGACAGCTGAAGAAACAGGTAAGGAAGATACAATTCATGAAAAGTAGGAGTTAATAAAAACATGTATCAAGGAAGCTCGTAATACGTAAAGAACAGACGACGCTATGAGTTGGCAGGGAAGGGAACAACAACAAAATTAAAGTGCTGATGATGAATTGTAAAGGAGGCTGGCTGGAAACCTGGTTGATTTAATAAATCAGGACTGATGGGGTGAAAACTACATGTGGATTTTTGTTGTTGTTTATGAGAAACAGCCATAATAAGTTGAAATAGGAATAGAGGATGAGCAAAGAGGGAAGAATACTGTTTAACCCTTGTCCTGTCGTTTGACTGCCTAAAACCTGAGCTTGTCATTGCCCTTCCTATGTGAAGAGAAAATCCAGAGATCTTCGCTTTGGCTTCCTCTCACTTCTTCTCATCTCTCCTAACTTCAGACTACAGCCCATAGGCAAGCCACATTTACCTCCTTGGATCTCTACCTGTATTTTATGTAAAGCAGGTTAATTGATATTGGTTGAATTTCTCTTGTGGATGGAGAGATGAAATCTTTAGCTCTCTTCTTGTTTTCATGATTATAAGGAAGAAGTCTTCTACATGTGTGAGAAAATAGTTACCTAGTCTTGCTGTAATATTAATGTTACTTAATACTGTTTTACTATTATTATATTTGTATTTTTTAAGTTGTACTGAAATGTTTTTAGTTGTGACCTGCTTTGTATCTCTGTATGGAGATATAAATAAACTGGGTTGGAGAAATCTAGACCCAGATTTCTGGCATAATTAACACATAGTACAAAGAAATTGCACACAGCAATCATGATAGTATTCCCACTTAATTAAGAAGTTGTAAAGGTCTCAATTATCTGAATGAAAAGCCTTGTTTTTAAAAGTGAGGTTACAAACTCTACCTTACTAATTTATTTTACGTTACTTGACTTGGCAGCATCTGCACTGACAGTTTCTCTTAATTTATGTCTCTTTGAGGTGTTCTCATCAAAGTATTTTCTTACGATCACTGAAAGTTGTTCCATCTCCATCTGTGGGAGGGAGGAAGTGAAAGGCCTAAGATGTTTGTGAAGTGAGAATGTAAAAGTATTAAATGCATTGTGTTAAATCGGCACATGTTTTTGATAGGCAATACACCATTGTTATTAAGCTACATCATGTGATGCCTATGTGTTTCCCTGTTGGACTTGATAATGTTGCAGAGGTTTTCAATTTTCAACCCCCCGCATTCCTATCTCCTTCTCTTATTCTCTGTCCCCTTCAAATAAAGGGGGGGGGGGAGGCGAACAGCACCTTCAGCCTTTTGCGGGTGGTTTTGCTGAAGTGTAACTTCATGTACTACACTTTCCACTCTTCTTCTCTCACCGGATGCAGCAACTCACTTCCTGGATTACTAATAAGAGCAGCACTGGCTACATGCTCCTTAACCATATCACTCGCCCTCCAGACCCTCTTTCAGGCATATCCACCACATTGACGCCTAGGCCTGCTAGTATCCCCTTTCATCTCTGTAAACTATGAATCCCAGTATGCTCTGTGTAAGAAATTGGATGCTAAGGGGAAAGAACTGGAGGGAATACAGGTGGAAGGAGAGAAAGGGAGATGAGAGGGTGAAAAGGGAAGTCTTAGTCTGAGATGGCATAGATAAAAAGGAGTGGGGAGGGGGCAGAGAGTCAAGTTGGACCACACCAAATTCTTTAGGGGTCAGTATGTGGTGCAGATCAGTGCTGGAGGAAAAGATACATGCTATACCTGACCTGCCTGGTTGTGAGTAATGTTTTAAGTATCCTTGCATGAGAAACATACGTTATTGTTATCTATGAACATGACATAGTGGTGGGCAATATAGAAGTCAGTTACAGATCTAGATCTTTTATAATGGGTTGGACAATTTTAGAACCTTCCCCACTTTTAAAACTGGTATCATTGTTCAGAATGCTCCTGTGTTATTGCTTAAAATTTGCATGGCATCCCTCACTGATGTGTAGGAGGAAAGACAGAATGCAAACATATAATTAAAAATTACATCCACTCTGATCTAATGCATCAGCGTGTAATTTTGTTACCTTAAAATGCATTTCTACTATATAACAGTATGCAACATGCACTCTTCTTTTGGCATTTAGACTTGAACCTCATTGCTGGTGTGAGGAGAGCCATTGACATTTTTATTTTGGCAGTGATCTTTGCTGTCAAAGTCTCATTAGAATTGGGAGAAGTCCCTTTGTGCTGCATATGTACAATATTTGAAGGCCGGAAGGGTATAGCTACCCTGAAGAAAATGTTACATTTGGAAATGAAGGAGGGTGGAGCAATTTGGCTGGGCCAATTGGCTCCATATCATGACCAGCTGCTTGACTGAGATTTGAGAAGTCAAGGGGGGAGATTTCTGTTGTAGCCTATATCACTTAATTCTGCTGATCAAACTTGGAACAGCTTTAGGCACTGTGGGAAAATGTTATAAGCCAAAAGCAAGCTAATGTCTGTATTTGTTAGGTCTGTTATGTCCCAAAGGTAAATTTCCCTTCACAGTCATTGCACAAACTATCCCTGTATCAGAAGCTTATTCTTGAAAAGGTTCATAAGCCACATGCAGATAATACCTCATGTTCAGATAGTAATGTTTGCTAGTGAATAATAATTCTACAGGTATCAAATGTTTGCTGGTCTGTGGTACTTAGAATTACTTTTTCTTGGTTGTTGGGTTAGTTTTTTTATTGCAAGGTGTAAGTTCTGAAAACCTTTATAACTGATATGGAAAAATATTGCAACAAAGAAAAAAGAAGGCACCATGAGGGAAAAAATACTCTGATATAAAGCAAACAAAATGGATGCATAAATCAGATATATTTATGGACCATGAATAAGAGAGGGAAAGAGGAACAGACTTCCTCTCATACTTCTAGAATTCATTTAGATACGTGCTATGTTTTAAAAATATTTTAATTTCGGTGATGCGTGTTTCTTTTTTTTTATTTTAACTTGGATTCATAGTGCATATATCCTGCCAGGTCTCATTTTATCACCTGATATGTCTTATTGCATTGTATCGCAAACCATCTAACATGGGGGATTGGCATTTTTCCCCAGTGCAACTTAAATCCATTGACTGCAGTGTTTTCTTGCTTGTTTACAAATGCACCAGGAACTGGCAGCTAGTGACTTGGATACAAACACTGGACTGTGGACCACCACTTGAGTAGCATTGCCCAAGTCTTTTTTTCTTTTCTTTTTGAGAACTCAGTTTGTTATTTAGCTATTTTTGAGAAGTGGAATCTCTTGTTAATACAATTCATTGTTTTAGTTTTAAAAATTGGGTTCTTGAACAACAAAAAAGGATTAATGCAGCTAATGGTGTATATACCACACCAGTGTAACATAGAATGTATGCTATATATGTAAGATATGACCCAATGCTCGCCCAATTTTGGGGGGAGTCATTTTTTGTCCCATAGTTTCCTCACATCTTTGGCTTCAATGCCATTTAAGCACAAAGGCAAAAATAAATGAACAGCAGGCTCTGAACTGCCTGTTTCCAAAGGCCAGGTGCTCCAGGAGGGATGGTCTTATGAAAATCACTGGAAGTACCACTGCAACTTATTTCCTATATGAACAACTTCATAATAGACCAACAGGACTTGAAGAACCTCAGTAAGCAGAAACTGCTTATAGTGATAGCAAGGGCAAAACTGATTAGAAGAAATTTCATGAAACAAAAGTAGTAATCAA